CAAATAAGTCACTATAGGATGTTCAAGGGAATGTATGCTTTGACTTTTAGCATTCGTCTTGCATATCGAAAGGTGTCCTCACCTAGGTTAGACTGGATCGCAAACACATATTAGACTTGGTCTCATCAGCACCATCAACGGTATTGGAAACCAAGTTAATCTTAAGGCACATTTATAGTAGGATGACTCAAAGATATGAAGACTAATCTGTTGTGGCCTCTGTTTGGGTTGCAGTCTTCTTTCTCTGTATAGAATGGATTAGCATTCGTTTTCGCAACGTTGTGATGTTATTGAGGCGACCTAGATAAACGGAACATTTCAAAAGACTTCTGCTATAGTAGTTATGATAAACCCCAAAGTACCAAGTTCACGACAAGACACCGGAAATTATCATAACTACTTTGACAAAGGACTTCAGCCATAATGTGTTTATCAGGGTCACCTTGACATCACGACCAAGTTTTTTGAACGAGTTCAAATAATTTCTATAGTAGGATTGTATATAATTCAAACTTTTATTTGCCATTGAAAGTGAAACCATGAGTTATACAATAATTAATATGTTTCGATGCTATCCAAAGGAGCTTAAATAAAGACTTTATTCTTCCATCTTCTAAGTTAAGGATTAAAGCCACACCTGATTGCGTGAAATTATGTTTTACTTTATGCGTTACATACCAAGTAGTCATATTGGTTATTTTAGTAAGATGCACATAAGTAGCTCTCTTATAAGGATGTCACAATAGTGATGATGAAACTACAGGGGAATTTAATTGTTGTTCATATGCGAAAATTGTGTACGAATTTATGGGAATTGGCACTGATTATACCCAAGATAACAAAAGAATGCATGATTTTTAATTTATATTAACGACACAATACCTCCTAAAAACCGTTTTCATCCGGTGTGGTATTTAACTATCCATGATCAGCCCTGGTGAGATTCGCAAAATGTAGGCGATAAACGATGTAGGCTAACCTCTATCTTCTAATAAAATAAATTTGATAGCACTTCAGTAACTTGGTACATTCAATGGTGAATATACGGTTGCCGACTGATGCGAAGTCTTTAGCCGATGCATTAGCTGTAAGGAATCTATTCTATTTTAAAATTAATTTTTACCGACAAAAATGCAAAAATAGTCCCTAGTATCTTAAGGACAGAAATGTTCTCAGTTTCTTTTATAGCCAGCACGAATATGGCATAGGGGCATCAATCAGATTCCTTAAAGCGGCGATCAAACAAGCATTGATTGACATCATTCCAGGCAATTCCGTCTAAAGGTCATCGGAGCATGCGTAATTTTCACCTTTGGCTCATACTGGAGATGACGATTAGACTCATTTGGGACAGCCAAGCATGCCAACCCCCCCCCTTCCCCTAGGATGGATGGTAGAGTTAAACGCTACAGGAAAGGCAAGAAATCGTGAATAGTGTCCAGTGGGTCTAAAGTTGAAAATCGTGATATAGGTGTTCAAGCTTCAATTTATTTTTTCCTTAAAGGGATGACAAAGCTGGCCACAGTTAGTACATGAAAAGGCGTGTATTTAGTACAAACCTATACTTCGCCACGAATTGCCAAGCGCTGGCAGGGAAACAACTTCAAAACTAACGACAAGTTAGAGGGCAAAAACCTATGGTTGCCTACCAATATAAAATTACCAACATGACCCACTGGCGAATGCTTATTAGACCATAAATGCAGTCCTAAATGGAGGTGAATGCCATTTTGGGACATTCATGAATCCTCCTCAATTATAAGCTTAAATCTATCTGGGTCGCTTAGGATAGTTTTAAGGACTCATAGTTGAATTGCTTCGCAACGAAATGAGTGAGTTCCATGTCTTCATTAACTTTTTTATAGCTTTGCCTCCAAAAAAGTTTTGTCATTCAGACTGGACTGCAGTTTCAACCTCGCCATACCGCCTGTTTAGCCCCACCAACGGGATTCGAAACTTAATCGTGGACGTCATGGAAACACATTACCACTCCTCCAAACAGTGAGTCAAGCATTGTCAACGAAGTTATCATCAATTCATTTCGGGCCTAGTCGTTCTAACTGAAATGAACTAACCGTTTTGCTCCTGACAACTGGGAAGCCCATCTTACCCAAATTAATATAAATAATGCTCCCAGTGAAAAGAAGCAACGTAATCGAGTGAAATGGCGAATTTAAGTTCCTATTCTTAATAGAATATTAAATACGTTGAATGTGAATAACGGTGGTAGAAAGTTAAGTAGGAACTACTTATGCTTGATTGTTAGATTGAAAGTAGAGAGGCGTTGAATCACCATCCAAAAAAAGGTAACCAGAATAAAGATAATTAACAAAACCATTTTATATCTATCTAGGTTTTTAATTTTTTTGGCTTAGTTGAGTCTATATAAGAGGTAAGATAGAGCCGGATAGTATTCTTATCCTACTGTTAACGTGAGACTTTTACAAGAATGAGACCCAGCTCTTATGATGTCCATCATATTATGGACAAAAGCTCAGCCCGATTTCACCTGCAAGAAGGGGGGAGGTCACGTGGACTACATCAATCGCAACGTCATTAAAAAGCCAAACTACTGCAGTACAATGGGATTCAACCGTCCTCTTCTCGTGAGATTGACCTTCGAATCTCTTCTTAATACACTTTCATACGAAACTAAATTCCCAACAACACCGAAAGTTGCATTTGAAATGTGATCTGACTGGCCTTAGGAACCACATTTGTATTTTGCCCCACTGGCATCCGCGGCTGAGTGGCAGAATGGTAACTTGTTGCCTCGACGTGCACGACCCAGAATTCAATGGCATCGTAAAACATACATTGTGGCAAAATTAAATTGTAAGACTCTAAATCCCCCTTATCATGCACTAGTGAGTATCAGCACATATTTAGACTAAGGCTATCTCTTAAATATAATTTGCATAGTTTCGATAGCCTGCATATTTATATGACTTATCTCATATTTTTCAGGCACGCTGCTTTTTAAGAGAATTTTCCCTATGAATAATGTGTACGGGGCTCGTGCATGCAGATGAAATGTGAACCCCGCTAGCTGTTTCTCTTTCACATGGGGTATGCGTAGGCCCCTCAACAAATCAAAGAAATGCACTGCGGCGTCGAGCACTGTAGCTTTTCCTTGTTCGCTGGCATGGGTTGGCTTTCCATCTACCGGAAAGGCAGATCACTATCGATCCATCTGGCAGAAATGTGCTGTACCAGTGCAAGTCTGTCTGGGAACGATAGATATCGCGTTGTGATTGGCGAACTGGCCCAACCAATCAGAAGCCGCATAAGCGATCCATCCCAATTCGGCTAAAAGTCAGTTCGATGTATTGACCTGGTTTGCCTGAGGTTGCCGCAATGGGTCAAGTGAACC